ACAGATTATTTAGAATTTTTCTGTAAGTAAGATCTGTCCCTTCTCTGCATATATTTATTTGTTCTATCAGGCATTTATAACAGTATGTACTCATAGTATTTATTTTAGTCTCTGTGTTGTAATATAATCATATAGTTATTTATTTTGTCACTCAGACTCTCTCAGCTTTGGCCACCGGGAGTTCTTTCAGTTTGGCTCTTCTGTCCCTTTGTGTGTTGAACTATCCTACGACCACCTCCTTTTTCTCCTCTTTTTGAGCACTCCCTTGGTTTCTTTACACTAGCAAGAAGATCCAGGCTCATCTTAAATGTTTCCCTGCCTTATTCTTAAAATCAACTTTCCAAAGAGCCCTGGTTCCTTTTGTTGGAGAATGTTACTAGAATCACGTCCTGGGTGTTAAATGTACTCATTGCCACTGGGATGCCACTGAGTCTGGGTCATCTTAATAGTGTTAAGACAGAAAGATTATATACTAATCCACATATGCACAAATATCCATATTTTTCCTGTATCTATCCATTTGAACATAGGTAGATAAATTGATAGATTCGTAGTGATATCTCTGACTCTAACACCACAGTACTCATCTTCCTTTTTTGGTTGTTTCTAATTTCTTTCTCTGACTGTGAAATCTGGCTCACATTATCTACAATGTATTTATTTAACCTTAGTTTACAAAAAAAAAATTCAAAATCACTAGCCTTTATCCCTGCAAGAAATACACTTACCCGCTGAAGTACAATATTTATATACAGATCATTTTTCAAAAATTACCTAGGGCTGGGCATGTGGCTCAGTGGTAGAGCACTTATATGGCATGCATGAAGCCCTGGGTTGAATCCCCAGCAAAAGAAAGAAAGACAGACAGAAAGAAAGAAAGAAAGAAAGAAAGAAAGAAAGAAAGAAAGAAAGAAAGAAAGAAAGAAAGGAAGGAAGGAAGGAAGGAAGGAAAGAGGGAGGGAGGGAGGGAAGGAAGGAAGGAAGGAAAACCTAGATCATCAACTCTTCCCCCAACCTTCCCTTCAATGAGGCACACCATACATTTATAGAACAAGTAGATCTTCTTGGCACAGATTGAATTCCATCTTCAGGTCTCTTAGTGTTGCTGTTTAGGTATGAGGTGTATCTCAAAAGCTCATGTGTGAGATGATGCAATGAAGTGTAGAGGTAAAATGATTGGGCTATGAGAATTTTAAACTAATCAATATATTAATCCCCTGATAGGAATTAATTGGGTGGTGAGTGCAGGCAGATAGAGTGGACCTACAGGAAGTGGATTCCTGGGGATGTGCCTTTGGGGTATATATTCTAACCTATCCTCTCTCTCTCTTCCTCTCTCTCTCTCTCTCTCTCTCTCTCTCTCTCTCTCTCTCTCTCTCTCTCTTTCTCTGCTTCCTGGTGCTACATCCTGAGCTGCTTTCCTCCTCCATAATATCCGATCTCATCTTGAGCCCAGAGCCATGGATTCAGCCAGCTATGGACTGAGACTTTTCAAACTATCAGCCCCCAAATAAACTTTTCCTCCTCTAAAATTGTTCTTGCCGGGTCTTTTTGTCAGAGCAATGAAAAAAAACAAAACAAAACAAAAAAAACACAACTAACTAAAACACCCAGCATCCTGGTTGATTAAAAAAAAAAAATACATACAATGAAGTTTATTCTCTTGGCAAATGGTTCTACAGGTTTTGACACATTCACAAAGCCATGTACCCACTACCCAGTACCATAGAGAACAATTCCACTGACCTAACATTTCCCTTGTGTGGTCTTTTTGCATTCAAATCATTTGCTAACCCCCAACAACCACAGATCTATTTTCCATCACAGTAGTTTTGCCTTTTCCATATTGGCACGAAAATGGAATCATGATATCTCCAGGGTCCGGCTTCTTTCGTTGAGCAAAATGCATTTGAGATGTCCATGTTGTGAGAATCACTAGTTTGCTATTTTTATTGCTGAGTCGTATTCCATTGTATTCCAGAGTTTGTTTATATATTCCCATGCTAAAGAATATTTTTGTTGCCTCTGGATTTTAGTGATATTAACAAAGCTTGCCATAAACATTGGTTAACTTGTTTTTGTGTGAACATTAAATTTTCAGTTTACCTGGAGAGATGCCAGGAGTGTGGTTGCTGTTTGTATGATAAGTCTATGTCTGACTTGGTAAGAAACTGGCAAGCTATTTTCTAAAGTGGCTGTACCATTTTACATTCCCATCATTGATGAATGGATGTTCTTTCTGATCTCTGTTTTCATCAACATTTGGTATTATCAGTTTGATTAATTTTAGCAATTCTAATTGGTATTAAAATGGCAGCTTTAATTTATAATTTCTTAGTGACAATTGATGTTGCTCATCTCATCAGGATTATTTTCCATCTGTACTGCTTCTTTCGTGAAGTGTCTGTTCCCATGGTTTGCCAATTTTTTTTTATTGGGTTGTTTTTTTGCTTGTTAAAATTAAAATTAAATTCAAATTTCAAATTAAAATTTTAAGGTGTGTGTGTTTGTGTGTGTGTGTCCACATATACATATATTTTCTGGATGCAAGGCTTCCTTTAGACATGTGATGTATAAATATTTCCTTCAAACTGGCTGGTCTTTTGTTTTCCTAACATTGTCTCTTAAGGAGCAAGTTTATAATTTTGATCAAGTTCAATCTTTTATTTTTTCTTTATGTATTGTGCTTTTGTTATTATATCTAAAAATTCATTGCCAAACCCAATATCCTGCAGATTTTCTATGTTTACTTCTAGAAGTTTTGTAGTTTTGTTTTTTATATTTGGGCCTTTGATTAGTTTGAATTATTTTTGAAGTATGAGGTATGTGTCCTTTAATGTGTCTTTTATTTTTTAATATTTTTTAGTTGTAGATGAACATAATACCTTTATTTTATTTATTTATATGAGGTACTGAGGATCAAACCCAGTGCCTCACACATGCTAGGTGAGCACTTTACCACTGAGCCACAACCCCAGCCCCTTCAGTGTGTCTTTTTAAATTCTTGTTGCTTTTTGTTGTTGTTCTGCATACAGTCATTATTCCAGTGCCATTTATTGAACAAACTATCACTTTTCCATTTTTATAAAACTTCAGTTGATTACATGCCTGTGGATCTATTTCTGGCACTTGTTTCTGGTATCTCTATTCTGTTCCATTTATCTCTGTACCACTTTCCACAAATACCAACCTGTCTTGGTTATCACAGCTTTAGAGTGTCTTAAAATCAGGTAGGGTGAATTTTTCAATTTTGTGCTTTTTTAAGACTAGTTTTAACTATTCTTAACTCTTTGATTTCCATATATATTTTAGGATCATCTTTTTTTATATTTTAAAAACAATTTTCTGGGATTTTGACTCAAATTCCATTGGACTTATAGATCAAATCATAATAATGTTAAATGTTCAAATCCACAAACATTGTATTTCCATTTATTTAGATCTTTGTTGACTTTTCATCTGTTTTATAGTTTCCAGCATACAGATCCTACATGTTTAAATTTAAGTACTTGACTTTTATGTCTGAGTGTAATATTTTTTTAAAAATCTCAAATCTATTTTTATTGTTGATTTTTAAAGATATGAATGGTTTTTGCATGTTGACGTTGAATGCTTCAAACTTGCTAAACATGTGCTTTTGAAAAAGGCACCTATCTGTTCTTATTTTTTGACTGACTAGTTAAGTATCTATTTCAAAGCATTTTGAAAAAGGTGTTTGAAGAATAAGTCTATACATGTTAGCATGTTGCAGACATTTCACAGAAGACCCATAAATGTTTCCTATATAAAAGAAAAGATTCCCAGTCAACTTGAAATAAAGAAAGTAGAAATTAAAACCAGGCTGAGATACCATGCTTCATCTCTCAGATTGGTAATATTGAAATTGTCATTAACAGTGTGCCTGCCAAATAGTGGTGAGAGAGATCTATCTCCCTAATATGAGCTCAGGTGGAAGAAATTTGGCAATATCTAAAAAAATTACACAATTGCTTTGACCCAGCAATTACATTTTTGGGAAATTTGTTCTACAGGCTCTAACAAAGGTACAAATAACATATCACAAGATTATTAATTATAATGTTTACAATAGGAGAATTAAATTTCATGTACCAATAAAAAGTGGCAATATTATGTTACATCTGCACAATGTAGACTTAAAAATAAATTTTATCAAAATCTTTGCATTATTGGCTGATGTAATTAAAGAGAATAGAATGATTAGTTACGTGCAGCCAATAATCCTCTACTTAGATCTACATATCCCAATCAGAATTAATTCCAAATCTGGCATTAAATTTGAGCACAGAAGTGAAAGAACTATGAAACCAGCCCTTTAATAACTGATTAACAAAGTGTTACAACAAAGTTTTCAAAATATGAAAGCATGCTGATTCAATATTTTATTAACTGCAACTTAACTCTAGTGATGAAATTTTGTACTATTAATAAAATTTCAATGTTAATTTCACCTCTATCTCGTTTTTTCAAATTTTAGTTTTTGGTATATTTATAGTTTATATAGCAGGTTAATACAGAAGTGCAGACATGTGATTTATGATTTAGTACACACCTGCTGTTGGTACATGCTTTGCTTTCCTTATTGATGAAATTTATGATATCCTTTGGAGACTACTACTTTAGATGCGAGCTCTCACTTGTATGGAAGGCCCTGGCCAAATTCTGTGTGAAGAGGACTTTTAAAGGGGAAGAAGAAAAAAGAGAGAATGTAGTTACATTGGCTTCAGAACACAAGAGTACATAGTGTTACAACCTTAAGTCCCTTAAGGTAGAATTCTAGAATCTCTAGGAGACAGGAAACAAAGAAGTTAAGAATTCTTCTTTCTCTAAGGCTCTAGAGAAAGGTACTTGAGAGAGAAAAGGATCACTTTTACCTGGCAAGAATCAGAAATAGCTTCAGGGGATGCAGGAAGCTCATGTGAGCTGCCAATCACTGATTGAGTAAGTAGACTCCAGATTCTTCCACCAGATCACCTGAGAAATCAGTCGCTGGGGCAGGCACCAGGAATCTGCCTTTTCAAAAAGACCAAAATTACTCTGATGAAGTCACCTGTCCCAAAGAACAGCAATGGTAACCCTAACCTTGGCTTGAAGGATGTAGAACATTATGCTTGGGGCTACTGTGTGGATTGCTGTGGATTTTGATTTATTTAAGAACAGTAAAAGTCTAAGGCAGGAGATGGAAACTAACTTTATTTATACCCTCTATATCTAAACCACATTTAACTGCCCCTAATGTGGTGCTATAGACTAGTATATAGGAACTAGCACACTTTTTCTGTAAAGAGCCAGATAATAAATATTTTAGTCTTGGGGTATAAATGGTCTCTGATAAACTATTTAACACTGTCATCGAAGTGCAAAAGCAGCCATAGACACTTTATTACCAAATGAGTGAAGCTAGGTTCCAATAAAACTTTGTTTGCCAAAGCAGGCCTGGTTTACTGAAAATTGCTATTCACAGTATATGTTACCTTATTGCTCAGCAACTTTAAAGCACATATTACATTTGTCTGGTTGGTCTTGCTTAAAATACTCATTCTTGTTTATAGCTTAGCTGCTCAACTGGGGAGACTAGTCCCAGTGATGGAGAAGTTTCTAGCCAAGTGCAGAAAATATTTCTAGATGAAAAGCTGTATGAATATCAAGGTAGTGTCCTAAGCAGTTAGCAGATATTTCGCTTCCCCATCGTTGCAGCAAGGTTGTTATATTGGGGGAAGACATGTTATTTCAAGGGAGGAAGATCTTGTTGAAAACTTGTAGCCAGCAACAGATGGAGCTCTTGGTCCTACTCCCATCTTAAATAAAGGGTCTCTTTATAGCCCTCCCATCCAACCAACACCTATCTCTCATGATCTATTGTCATCTCTCCCCACTTGTTCACCAGACATCAGAATTTTTTCTTTCTTTTTTTTTTTTTTTGTTTTTTGTTTTGAGTACCAGGGATTGAACTCAGAGGGACTCGATCACTGAGCCACATCCCTAGCCCTATTTTGTATTTTATTAGAGACAGGGTCTCACTGAGTTGCTTCGCGCCTGGCTAAATTGCTGAGGCTGGATTTGAACTCGAGATCCTCCTGCCTCAGCCTCCCAAGCCTCTGGGATTACACCTCACCCAGCAGACACCAGAATTTTTTGCAGACTCCACTGGGGCAGTAGTAAAGGAATGCCCCATCACCAACCAAAAAAGAAACATTATATTTGCAATAGAGGGCAAAAGACTGGCATTTTTGAAGCAGCATTTCCACATTTGGAAAGGCATCAAGCAAAGAGAATGGAATGAAGATAAGGTACTTGATCTTCTTCCTTCAGTAAATCCCAAATGATAAATCTAAAGGTTGTCCATACAGGCTCATGCCTATTTCATCTCTGGCTGCAATGGGGCATCTGTTTCTGCATATAAAGGGAATGCTTCACACTTTGTATTCTATGTTTTTCCTATTCATAGAAAATGGGAATCCTAGAAATGATCCCTGTGATTTCCACCCAATGTCAGTGAAGGAGGGCTCATTTCTTTGCTTGTCAGATACTAGGAACACAGCATTGACCCGAAAGTAACTGCGCAGGAAAGCAGAAGACCCTGCAATCCTATTCCTTCCCTGAATTTTCCTTCTTTCCCCTGGATGGAAGTTCTGAATGACTAAAAGTGAAAGGAGGTGCCTAGGTAGGACTGTTCATGGCCGTGGCTGCTAGATTTTGAAAGTTCCTGTTGGCGGCAGGTGGGATCTTAGGATAAATCCAGATTGTCTGACTGGTTTCCTGATCTTTGACAGGTTCTGCCTCCAACAGCCTTGGGGATGAAGGCTGCTGGCATCTTGTCCCTGATTGGCTGTCTGGTCACAGTCACAGACTCCAAAATCTACACTCGCTGCAAACTGGCAAAAGTATTCGCGCGGGCCGGCCTGGACAATTACCAGGGCTTTAGCCTGGGAAACTGTGAGATTTCTTCATCCTTCTTCTCTTTCTATCCTTGACCTCTCTTCTGAGATGTTGCAGGTGCCATCCTCACTCCCTTCTGTTTACACCCAGGGTTTTCATGCTCTGCCCCTCCTGGAGGTGACAGCTAGGTCATCACAGATTCTTTGCTTGCTCTCCCAGCCTCCTCTCCTCCCTCCCCTCCCTGTTCCTGGAGGCCTGTATTTATAATGTCAGCAAGGGAAGGGGAAAATAATGCCGTCCCTGTTGGCACGGTGTGAGGAGGACCTGGGTTTGGGGATATGTTGGGCTCAGCCACTGACTGGGTGTGCAGCTTCAAGTGCAGTATCCCTGCACCCCCTGTGCCATTCATGTGACCCTCACATATACCCCCTGCCCTGCCTGTCCCCCAAGGTCTACTAGGAGGAGGTGATTAGATGCCGTTGCGTTCCCCTGACTGGCCTGTCTGGACATGTCTCCCCCCAGGGATCTGCATGGCGTACTATGAGAGCCGCTACAACACCACAGCTCAGACTGGCCTGGATGACGGCAGCATCGACTATGGCATTTTTCAGATAAATAGTTTCACGTGGTGCAGAGATGCAAAGCTGCAGGAGAAGAACCACTGTCATGTTGCCTGCTCAGGTACACAGTTTTGGTTTTCCAAAAATATCCTCCTAGACAAAGGCAGGAAAGCTGATGGTAGAACAGCCACCCATTCTCCACTTTAACTAAAAATCTGGAGTTCAGATTTGCCAAGAGATCTGTTCTAGGCTGGTAAATTATTCACTAGTCCCCCAAGGTGTCACTTAAGACCCTGTGACCTACTGGTCCTAAGATGACTTATTCTTTCTAAGATACTTTTTTAAATAAGCCCTGCACAAAATCTGGGGAATGGACAGACTACAGTTCTGCCATTTCCTATATAAAGACATCTTATATTTTGGGTACGAAAGAGAAAGGTCTTTGCCAGCTCCTTTCATGAACAATTCTCCCAAACAAGGCAGTTTGAGCTTCTTTGTGTGGAAGGAAACAAATGAACGCTCTCTACATTTCTTAAACAACGGAACTTAAACCAGAATTCACTTCTGACTCTTCTGCTTCAGTCCATTAGGAAACTTGTGTGTACAGCGTTGAAGATGTTAAGATGCTTTGGGCACGAGTCCTGCTTTACAAAAGCTTTAGGCAATGAGAAAAGAGAATGTGTGCTTACACGGGGTTAAAGAAATGACTGTAAACAGGTGTGGATTGATTGCTGTAGGCTTCACCGGAAAGTGATATTGAGAAAATCATGGAAGGTTCTGGAGACAAGATGTTATCTGACCTGGAACTGGAAGAAAGACAAGAGTTGGGTGTTCAGAGTTAGAAAAGAGTCCTTTTAGGCAAAGGGAAAAACCAAATGAAAAGAGCAACATGTGGGAAGGGCTGGGGTATGGTCTGGAGTCGTACAACATTCTCCTCAACTGGAATAAAGGGAATGTAGAAGAGGATTCTAGGAAGAATGGTTGGAAATGCTACCTGATCGATCGTGTAGGGCACTGAAAGCCGGGCTGAGGAGCTTGTACTGACTTCTTCCTGCAATAGGAAGCAGTAGAGATTAGACAAGGAAGCCCTGCCTAAGAGAGATTCATCTGCCTACAAGGGCATAAGATAGATTAAAGAAGAAGCCAGCGAAATGGCACTGCAATTGGAAGATGGTCATGGCTGGGAGGGTGGAAAGGAAGGGCCAAATATAAGAGCCACTGAAGAGGCAGAAAGTTCAGAGGATGATGTTCTCGCTTACTCTCTCACTACAATGGGAGCCCCATGGGGGCAAGGAGTTGTGTCTATTTCATTCACTGATACATCCTCACGGCCTACAATGGTGGTTGGCTATTATAGGTGCTCAATAAATATTTATGTGAATAAAGAATGCGGAACAATGGTAAAGTCAGAGAGTCATAAAATATTCTATGCAAATTCTTTGGGAACGGGAAATGAATTGTATTTTAATTCCTCTTTGCCAAATATAAGATCATTAGTTCATGTGTTTGAATGTATGAATGATTGAACAATACATTAATTTATCTAGGAAATTGTTCCTACTCCTACATTAATACAGAATGCTCATGACCTCCTGAGGCAGATCATAAGAGTATTGATCAAGCCTTAATTAGAATATTTGTTTTGGGAGCCAAAATCTATCTCCTCGTCACTTTCTTCCTTTAAATCTCAGTTTTTCCTTCTGGATTTAGTCAAAACAAATTTGCTCCTTTTTATGCATGGAAACTTTATGAAGCATCTGCAAAGGCTGGGATCTCCAGTTTCTAGTCTGCTGAACAAAAGGTGTCTTCCTACTGGGTGACTTTTCATGCCTTCTCTGTTGGGTCAATCTCATTAGCATAGAAATTGCCAGCAGGCACTTGCAAATTAAAAACGGTGACTAGACAAGTGGGATTTCATTTTATTTGTCACATATTTACCACCTCCAACTCTGCTAATTCCTGTGGTGGATTCATTTGGTCAGGTAGTTCAGTGATTTCATTTTCTTTCGGCCTAAAGATTTTCCTTTAGCTATTTGGTTGTCATTACTGGTAAGTTCTCTTTCAGCTTTTGCTGCCTGAAAATGTCTCTATTTTAGTTTCATTCTCGAAGGTCTTTTTAAAATATGTATAAATTAATATGTATAAATTCTATGCTGATAGGCTTTATTTTCCGCTCAAGTTGTTACAGATGTCCCATTGTTCTTGGCTTGCCTGGTTAACCACAGGGAATCAGTTTTGTTTTGTTTTGTTTTTTGGTACTGGGCATTGACCCAGGGGTGCTTAACCACTGAGCCACATCCCCAGCCTTTTTTATTTTGTTTTGTTTTGAGACAGCCCAGCTGATTTTTATTTTGATAAGCCCTTAAACTTCACTAGAGAAATCCTAGAGTAGTCTTCACAGTATGGATAGTTAGGTCCTACTACCAAAAACATGGCTCTCGGAGTGTGTCTTTTTTGCGTGCTCCAAGGGTTCAGGAAGGTCTCCTCCCTCTAGCTCCTCAGAAATCAAACGTCCCTCAGTCCTATGTGAGAGCTCTGTCGATTGTCCAGCTCCCGTCCTTGGGCTCTGCCTAGGCTCATGGAGCCTTACCCCCACATACCCCAGTGAGCCTTCCCCCAAAGGCTCAGTGGTACCCCTGCCAGGTTTCCCATGCTCTTCTTTGGAGTAGCTTTGTAAAGATCTTCTTCTCCACAAATCCCAGCTGCCATGGCCTCTGACCTCTGTTTCCACCTAGTTTGCCCTCCCCTGCCTGGGTCTACCTCCTGGGTCTCCTCAGAGCAGCAAGTCCTGGAAAACCCAAGAGTCACCTCATTTGTTTTCTCTCTCTCAAGGACCATGGCTCTGTACTGTCAGTTGTTCAATATCTAAAAATATTCTTTTCATAGATTTTTTTTTCCAGTTTTCTAGCTGTGTCCAGAGGGGAGGAAGATCAGTTACTCCATCATGGACATGGTTGACTTTACACACAGTTTACTAATTTATCATTGGTTCTGGGTAATTCCAAATGAAGGAAGCTTGGAGAAAATGTTTATCTGCAAGATGATCTTTGCTAGATGGTCTTCTTTATTACCTATCATCTGCAAGGTGGTCTTTGGTTCTAGGGAATTAAAGTGTTGGATCGTTGAGAACAAGTTAGCATTAGGGTAAGTTTATAAGAAATGGCAGCATCAATGTATGGATAGTATATAAGCACCTCATGCCCATTTCTGAAATTATATATCTTCCCTTTCTAAATTGTATTCCTAAAATTCCTATTACCTTCTTTAAACTGCTTAGCCAGATATTTAAAAGCTGTGTTTGCTATGGTTTGAATGTGTTTCCCAAATGTTCACGTAATTCATATATGAGTAGTCTTTGGAGATGGAGCCTTTAGGAGATAATTAAAATTAGAAGAGGTCATGAGGACAGGGTACCCATAATGGCATTAACATCTTCATAAGAAGAGACAAAGGGATCCTAGCTGACATGCTGGCTCTGTCTCACCATGTAATGCCCTCCTCCTCATTATAATACAGTAGGAAGACCCTCACATGATGCTGCGCAGATACCAGCACCTTTTTCTTGGATTCCCCAGCCTCCAGAACCATGAGACAAATAAACTTCTATTCTTTATAATTACTTGGTCTCAGGTGTTTGGTTATAGTCCCAGAAGACAGACTAAGCCAATATTCATATGTATAAATTAAACACGTACACATACATATGTACACACACATAAATATATGTACACACAGTTTACAAAATTCCTGGCCTAATGGCAATCTTTATTTTCTCCAAACAGCCACAGGCCTTGTTAAAATAAGAGGTATTTAGAAAAAAGAAGGAGATTACTGACTCATCTATCTAATCTAATCCACTTACCTTAATCTTATTTCTTATCAGTATGGTGTAAGAGTTGACCTTTGTGACTTTTGAGAGGAGAAAGAGCTGTAAATCATGGGCAGGGTAACTATATTTTGGTTGGGAGGTAAGACGATGCTGGGGAGAGACAGATTTTGAAATAGAACTAAGTTAACTGAAAAAAGAAATAAAAGTAGTTCTTTTTGAATAGATTGTGGCTGTTTTCTGTTGTTAGATGTGGGAGAATAAACCATTCTCTCTAATACTGCTTAGCTTTCCAGCAGAACCCTTTCTTTATTCATCTTTGACTAGGCAGAATTGTCTATTTAAAGTAAATTGAGCAGAAACAATTACTGGCATGAATCCTTATAAAAACCTGCTGTCTGAGCTCATTTCTGCCCCTCTGCTGCCCCTCTGTGGCAATTTCATTGTGTTTTAACATCTCAGCACTGTGTTGGGTTCATTTCCTTCCTGGTTTCCATCTTCTTAATACACTTTCCTAAGAAAATTCAGTCAAACCTGAGTAGCATTTTTAAACCATCTCATTTGCATAATGAAATGCTATAACAAAGTTGGACACTGAAAAAAAAAAAAAAAACCTTCACACTGTGGTGTTCTCCTGGGTCTGCATCCCCGCAGCCGCCCATGAATCCTTACAGGGCGTCTCCAGCCAAGCAAACTGCCTTGCCCCAAGTCCAAACCCTGGGATGTGCTCCAGTCCTGGAATATCAGAATACAATCTGCTGCTTCTTCACTGACTATAATCCGTGTCCTTTCCACTCCTTGAGATCTCACTGATCCTCCTTTTCCTAGGACTTATGCCCAACCATTTCTAAACACAAGCTACAGTATCTCGGCACCTGTCAGGTGCTAATGCATGCAAAATACAGTACTTCTAAGTAATCTGAATTGTATCCCATGCCAAACAAATTTGAATCTGCTTATAGGTAAATAAAAATGTTTATAATATTATTAACTTCCTTAACTTATAGTATCCTATATGCAGGAACCCTTGTTTAACTAAACCAGTATGCCCAAGGAAAAAAATCCCACTTTTAACTAAGTTCACAGAATAATTTGGTATTGCAGTGCTCTAGTGAAATGAAAAAAATTTTAGGCTGGTGTTATTTTTCTTTGAGGTTTTTCTTTTGGGGAGGACAATAAGAATAAGGCATTTCTATTGTAAAAATCTTTTAGAAAATACACAGCAAAGATTTAAGAAGATTAATGATCTCATAAGAGCTAATCTTTAAAATACTGTAAATTTATGACTATCTTTTTTTTTCCTAAACCAGTGCTTTCCACTATCATTTTCTGTAATGATGGCAGTATTCTCCATCTGCACTATCCAATATGAGTCACTAGCTATGAGTGGCTATAAAGCAAGTGAAATGTGTAGAAACAGCAACTGAGGAAATAGCACTTTAATTGTACTTAAGGTTAATTAAATTTACTATGTATTACTTTAAAATTTACTTCCAGATTTATTGAGGAATAATTGACATTACATATTTCTATATATTTAATGTATACAGTGTGATAGTTTGGTGTATGTGTATATTGTGAAATGGTTACTAAAATCAATTAACATATGCATCGCTGCCCATAGTTACCCTGTGTGTGTGTGTGTGTGTGTGTGTGTGTGATAATATTTAAGATCTCTCGCCACTTCAAGTATACAGTACATGCAGTATTATTAACCACAGTCCTCACCGCTGCACATTAGATCCCCAGAGCTGATTCACCTTATAATTTACAGTTGGTAACTTTGAACCATCAATGCATTTCCCCCAATCCTAGCCCCTGGCAACCTCTGTTCTATTCTTTGCTTCTATAAGTTCAACTTTTTGGATTACACTTACAAGTGAGGTCACCAGTATTTTTCTTTCTGTGTCTCACTTCTTTCACTTAGTGTAATGTCCTCCAGATTCATTCATGTTGTCATATATGTCAGGATTTCCTTCTTTTCATGGCTGCATAAGATTCCAGTATATACCCTATTTTCTTTATCCTTTTATCTGTTAATGGAAATAAGTTAAATTTAAACAGTCAGATGTGGTTGTGGCTAACATATTAGGTAGTGTAACTCTCAACAAATATTATTACAGTACTGGAAATTTAATGTTACCTTGGGAACATTTCCCCTCTATTAGGAACCATCCTGTGAACACATGATTTTGATCATTCCTTATTTCATTATATGAAGTAATTTTTATTAATTTCAACTACCTTAGTATGAGGTAATTAGATGTTTCCATCCGAACTTTTATAAATAAAATGACAGCAAACCACTTTGGAAACAAATCTTAGAGTCCCCATTTTCTTAGGATTGATTCAAGAAAAGACATTAGTAGGTGAAAGGATAGGACCTCTTTGAGGCTCTTTACTGTGCTACTCTGTTGCTTTTTCTGGAGAGCTGGACCCATCATCTTCTCACCAGCAAGGACTCTGGAGTGCCTTTCTCATTGCGCCCTTGTCAACATTAATCATTATCTAGTTCTCTTTAAAAAAAAAAAACTTTGCTTAATTGATAAATTAAAATGATATTGAGTTGGATTTTGGATTTTTCTGTTCTTGATGGGCAGTCATGGTGGTCCTAACGATGGTCCCATTGTAAGGAAAGACATATTGCCCCAGCTGCATTTGTGTGATGAGCAGACAGTCCACCTACTACCTTCTTTGGGGTCTGCTTTAGCTGCAGAGGGCTCCCTCAACTAAGGTGAGAGCGCACACTGGGACTGAGGGAGGCAGCGGGATCGACACAGACTTTTGGGTCCCACATGAGCAACTCAGATGGGCAATATTCACGCCAGGGCTCCTGGCCAGGTGTCCTTTAGCTTCACTGATTTCCTACCACAAGTGGACCTATCCCCCTGCCTGGCCCTGCTTCCTCTTTTTTTTTTAACAGGTGTGAATATCTAATAAATATTTTGCACCCCCATCCCAGCCTCTGCCCCTGGAGAATCCAGCTTCCGACAGATGTGATGAGGAACTTTTTACATTTATTTGACTTTTTCTGTCACATTTGTGTTGAGGATTTTGAGACCCTTTCCAGGCAAGGAGGAATGATACTGAATTCAATGCATACATGTCTGTTGAAAGATTTGTTTGATTTGAAGCAATGGAAAAAGCAATAAAGATTGGAGCATTTGGTTTAAAACTTCAACTTTCCTGCATGTTGGAGACACCTTGAAAAGAAATCTAAATGGCAATAGATAAAAGTTTAATTTTTAACTATAAAGAGTTCTTAGATGTCAGACTAACTTGAATAGAGAAAAATGTGATACTGTCCCCTCTTACTTGTGTGTTTCATTAAGATGCAAAAACCATTCTCTTGTTTTGTTGTCTCTAAAGCATTTCCCCAAAATCCTTCTGAAGTTTTAGGCAACCCAAGATGGGTATGGTCTTGTGTTGGAGGTGGGAGGTTGTGTATTTCATCGGTGAAGAAGCAGAACATTAACATGGCTCTGTAGCTGAAGCCATAGCTCTTCCAACCCTCTAGTTCCAAAAACAATGAGGAACATGAAGAAAACCTGATGTAAAGTCCCCCTCCAAAAAATTGTCTCAGCTGACTCTTGTATCTCCTCTTTTTGCAGCCTTAATCACTGACGACCTCACAGATGCAATTATCTGTGCCAAGAAAATTGCTAAAGAGACTCAAGGGATGGACTACTGGTAAGAGCCTTTCCCTAGGAAATTTGGGCTTCCCTGGAAAAACCTGTAGTATGTCTGTTCATCATGACTGTGGTGGGCTTTGCTAACCGGCCTCTGCAGCATGGTCCGACACTGTTAAGTGACTCTTCTCCATCAGTGTGTGGCTGGGTGTTCAGAGAACACAGTAGCAGGGACGAGCGCGGGAAGGAGAGATCCATTGAGCCAGGGAAGCTTGCATTTTTACATGAAGATGTCCCAAATAGTGGAGAAGGAGATAATTTCTAATGTGAACCAGGAAGGCTCACCCGGTCAACACAGCCGAGGAGAGGGAGCTTGATTTTTCTCTAGATTTGGATAAGATTTTGGAGGGCTAAAGTAACATTTTACAGGAATTGAGTATGAGCATCAATGAGACAACAGCTCTTGCATGTCTCTTACATGATAACTCAGCAGAAAACTTCTTCCCAAGGGTTAAACATGAGCCATGTGCTCAGGTAGGGCTCGCTGTCATCACTGAGGAATGTTTCCAGTGAACATTGCTCATCAGGCCACCACCCACTTGGGGAGTCCAAGTTTCTCTATGGAGTTTTAGTATAAGAATACTTGGGTTGTCACATTTCTTTCTGTTGTTCCTGCTCCCCCCCCCCACCTCCTTAGGCAAGGCTGGAAGAAACACTGTGAGGGCAGAGAACTATCTGAGTGGAAAAAAGGATGTGAGGTTTCCTGAACCAGAACCGGAGCAGGATGCGTCGCACAGACTCCCCGGATTTGTAATGAATGTCAAACTTCTCCCGTCATCTTGTCTCTTTTCCTCCCCAAATTCCTTCTCAAAGTTGGAGAGGGAAAACTAAGCTCTATTTTAAGAAAAATAAATATTTCCATTTAAATGTCTTCACTTCACCTTGACTTGGTTTCAATGATGTTGTAAGAGCACAACGTTGAGACTTGAAGAATCACTCGTGGAATGTTCCAGTCCTAGAAGGAATAAGATTTCCCCTTTCCACATAAGCAGGCCTGGTTCCTAAGGCTCTGAAATGGCTGTTCATTCAAAAATGAGACTTTGGAACCAAGGAAAGCACTCGGTGAGCAACTTTAAGAGGCCTGTGGGCTACAGTTTGCCAAGCTGTATTCCATACAGCCATTCCTTCCTAGTCCTAGATACACAGTACATCCCAGCTCAACGCTGCCAGAGAGAGTATTTCTGCTTCCTCAGGGAAGTCCTGATGGAAACTCTAATGGGACCAAACAGATGAAATAGCGCTGTTAACCCAGCATCCAGAGACTTCCCCATGTGATCCCAGCATCCATTTCAATTACACTGTCAAGTTCAAAAACCACTTAGGCATTCCCATGACAAAATTATTTTCAGCCTTAAACCTGAAGGTTTTTATTAGTTAGGCCAGGAATCTGCTGTCTGATTACATCTAGCAGTGGGCTGAGCATCTCAGACCCCAAAGAGATATTCTCAAGATGTCTTTTGCTATACTCATGGATGACTCCTTCCAATGGTCCACATGGTAAGGTGGCTCTGCTCCCGGGTTTTCTCTTGTCCAGTTTTCTCTGTCCATATGTCTCTGGCCTAGGGCAGAGTTGCTTGAAGCTAGCTTATTCTAAATTGAGGTGAAAATAGTAGGCTCACATTGAATGGAATCAGACCTAGAGAATATACTAAATTGAGGTTTGTTAGAGAAATGGCTACACCAACAAATAAGCTTATCACTTAGAAGTCCCCACTGATCAGAGATGGAGACCGTGATAGCACCAAAATGACTTTTCCACACACGCTTGTTGACAACTGCCCAGGTTTTACTGTGGGTTCACTTCATGCCCACTGGCTTTACTTGCATGCATAGACTTTAAAAAATCTTAACTGACACTTGTCAAAAAATAAACAAATAGTACATTAAAATCATATAATCCTCCAGCAATTTAACAGGCATTATGAACCATGGGGGAAAGCTTTTGAAGCTCATATAAGAATTGAAAAATAATTCTATAAGATGACTAGGAAAAAAATTTGAAAAATATAGAATCCATTAAGCTACACTAAGTCAATAATCTGTGCTTGCAGAAGCCCATAAATATGCATTTTTCACTATTATTGTCCAGTCATCCATCTGTCTCACGGTCCCCATTCTTAGCCAAACCTCCTGCTTCATTAAAACTGATGGCACCAAGTTAATGAGTGGGGTTGGCAGGGGCCTGGCGCCGGCCATTCAAAGACTAGGGGAAAGATTAAAAACAACAACAACAACAAAAAACAAAAACAAAAACCCAGAAGCCCAACTCCAAAAAATTCAAGATAATGGGAAGTTGGCTGACCCTACAATTTGACTGATCCATCTTTTAGCAAAATTCATAAAATTTCTAAGCAGGCAACCCTACTATTTGCTTTCCCAAATGTTTTATTTATTCAGTATATCTATAAATAGTAAGAATGAAAAATGCATTTTCCTGGATAATTTTCCACAATTAATGTCCTCAGAAATTCAAGAGGGAAAGATCACTTCTATCTCTGGGTTATCATTATTTAACAAAAGTGCATTAAAATGATGAGCCACATCTATTTCCCTCATTGTAGTTTCCAAGACATTTGGAAATAGATTTTTATTTTCTCCTCACAACTACTTCATCAGCTGGTTACCAAATTTGTTAATCGGACAGTTGAGTATTTGGGTGCAGACAGCTGGATATTTGGGTGCAGGGAGCAACTTATTTTGGTGTGTCCTTTCTTTGGGGACTCAGCTGCCTGACTCTTGGGACCCTCCTCCTGCAGCATCTTTGTCCCTCCATATCCCAACTTGTTCTTTCTCATTCCTTAACACTCTCTGGTCCAATCTGCCATTTTTCCTTGATGCGTCCTAAACCCAATACACCATTTCCCCCTGGGTAGCTTTGTTTCAGGTTTTTTCCAAGGTTGGAAACTTGTGACACTTCCCTGTGGCCTAATCAAGCTCAACCCAGTCACGTGAAGCTCTCTGCTCCTCTAACTCCAGTAGATCTTTCCTCTGAACTCATGGCTTGTATGTTCTTTAGGATTAGGTCAATCAGGATTAGTGTTCTCAGTCTGAAAGCTCCTTGAGGTCTAGTCTATAAACCACATCTTTTAGTTTTGCATTTTTTTTTTTTTTTTGGTATCAGGGTTTGAGCCCAGGGGTGCTCAACCATTGAGACACATCCCCAGCCCTTTTAAAATATATTTTATTTAGGGACAAGGTCTAGCTAGGTTGCTGAGGCTGACTATGAACTTGTAATCCTCCTGCCTCATCCCCCCAAGCCACTGGGAGCACAGGCACATGCCACCCTTTCGTAATTTTCCATAACCCCTTTTGCAATGCTAAGCACTTAATAGTTACATTCAGAAAGATTGGCTGTTAATTGTTGGGACCACTGGACACGTGGAATCTTTGAAGAAGTGTGAATAACATTTTGTATTTAGGACATTTTTGTTTTCAAAATACTCTTTGTAATAATCTTGAGTAACATAATTTTTATTTTATACAGGTCACTGAGATACAAAAAGGGTAACTATTTCCCCCAAGGGTCATAGTAGACCGATGGGAGTCTAAGAAAACTCTTCTGCCCAAAAGGAATCTTCAGAATTCAGGGGAAGAAGGTGACTTTAGTTTCTTTGAGGACAGGGAGTGGCAGAAACCCTCAGCTGTATTCCATACATCTATTTCCTTGGCACAAATCCCAAAAGATCTATGGGGACAGTTTAATATCTTCAAGATGAATTAAAAACAAAGACTTCATTAGGAAGCTTAGACATTTCCTCTGTGTTCCCAAAATGGAAGAAAAAGCATCTAGATTTCCAAAACTTGAAATTCACAATAAAATATGTTACATTTTCCAATTAGAAAAAAAAATCACATTTTAAACATAAGATGTTTTAAATGTGAATATAATTTCTTCCATTGTAGGACAATTGGCCACTACAGACCCACTCCCTTTTCTTCTTCATATTGGGACTTCCAGGACTTGCGAGCCCTCTGCAGTGCCTCTGTATTGAAGAGCGTACATCATTTGAGGAGGCAGAGTGCTGCATGTCTTCCACGGCTCAGCATGGAGCCTCAAGCGGCCCTTTATATGCAACGATGTCACAAAAATTCATACAGCCAGTTGGCAAGAGTGGCTGCCTGAGAAAGCTTCAGATTCTGATCAGGGAGGAATCCTGCATAGAGCAGAAGCATATTGTTTTAATCAGCTTTTTTATTGCTGTGACCAAAAGAACTTACAAGAACAATTAGAGGAGGAAAAGTTTATTTTGGAGCTCACAGCATCAGAGGTCTCAATCCATAGACAGCTGACTCCATTCTTTGGGGCCTGAGATGAGGCAGAACATCATGGCACATGAAGGATGTAGCAGAAGAAAATATTGGGGACATGGCATCCAGGAAGCAGAGAGAGAGAGAGACACTCCACTCACTGTGTACAAAATATATATATCCCAAAGCTATGCCTCCACTGACCCACCTCCTCCACTCACACCCAACCTAGCTATAATTACCATCTAGTTAATCGATATCAGGGGATAAATTCACTTATTGCATTAAGGCTCTCATAACCCCATCATTTTACCTCTAAACTTTCTTGTATTATCTCATTTGTGAGCTTTCAGGGGACACTTAATATCTGAACCATAACACATATAGACCACAATGGAACTCCCTTAGAAATAGGGCATGAGTCAACTTCAGGTTACTATAATGAAATACCTGAGGCAATTAACTTATCACGAGAAAATGTTTCTTTTGATTTGTTGTTCTGGAGGTTGTAGTCCAAGATCAGACCTCTGTTGCTTTGGGCCTCTAGAGAGGGTGGCACTTCAAGGTGGGAGCAAATGGAGAAGAAAAACTCCTTAATTCTCATAAGCCACGAGTCAAAAAAGAGAGACAGAAAGGGTCTGGGATCCCCCAGTCCCTGTCCGTGGCCTGCCCACACTGATCTAAGAACCTCCCACTAGGCTCCACTGCCTAATGGTCCACAGCACCTCCCAACACCTCTGGGAACTAGGTCTTTAGCACATTGTTGTGAGGGGGAAAAATTGCGACATATACAGTCGAGGAGAGAAATAAAGAATGTCCATGCGCTTCTGCCCCTTTCAATGCTTTATTCACTCAAATTACTCAATACAATTTCTATAGGTTTTTAATCAAGAAAATGACAATCCTTAATGCTAGGCACTGCAATAGACATAATCAATTCACAGCAACCAATTCTAGGTTAATTCTAAGCACTGCAAACACACTTAATCAGGACAGGCTAGTGACAGACCTTCCCTCTGCATGCTAATTTCAAAAGTCTTAAGTCTTAGGCTTTGAGTCCAGCAGACGCACACTCACTCAGACCGTAGTGACCAGGTCTGGAACCAAGGCAGGCTTTTCTTGGCGTGGAGTGGACGACCAGTTGAGAGGGTCGTAGGGAGGAGTTGTGGCTCAAACCAAGGTCCAGGCGAGGCGGTAAGATTTGAGAGAGGTGAGGATCATGCAGAGGATCAGGAACGATGACAAGTGGTGGGATGTCAGGTCCTCATCAGGCTCTCCAGCTCGAGTGTATCCTTGTTTCGTCTGGCTGAATCCCTGTTCATTTACTCTACCATTTATACTAAATTTGGGGGCTTTTGATCCCCCTTTCAATCCTTATCAGCTACCACCAATTTCTCAGTGACATCATTTACCCTGAGGTCAGAAACATCTGGTCCAGTGGTCTCTACCCTGATCTTCT